CACATAAAACCATACTTACTTTCCAACTAGAAACGCGTTGTCGTAGCTATGCAAGAAAACTGGTGAATTGGAGGTCAGCGTAGTTCATCAGGGCGAAGATTCAGAAGATATTTTGATAGCACCACGGAATTCCTCCGCCAAAACTCGGGAGAAAAGTACAACTCTTGTGAGTGGAATTGACAGTTAATGGCATAGGGGACTTGATGGAATACGGACATCACATAGCAGTCTATACATCCAGACCTGCACAGGGCGTCTGCAAGGCTGCCAAACTCATCCCACCGCGAGCATCGAGCTGTGCTGGTGCAAATAACTGTTATACGATTCTTCGGTTAATGTAGGTTGCCAGACGTCGCTGCAGTTGACTTGCACCATTCGGAGTCGTAGTGGACCTAATTGGGAGAAGGGGGAGGGGGAGGGGAGGAGGACAAATCCATTGCCCTGTCAACCCGACGACGGTTGACGAATGCGATAAGGGAAAAAAATGCGGGCACCATCAGCTGTTCCATTCCCATCAACGTGTTAAGGCGCGCCCTGAGACCGGGTCTCCGCATGGATCGACTGTGCTCTAAGAGGTTGTGTGGTTCGATGACTTTGCATAGTATACCTCCCCCCACCCATCCCCTCCCCCCGGATCCCGTCCCGCATCCTATGAAGTCAACGCTTTGCGACTGCGAAGCCGGGAGGGGGGGGTGAGTGTGGGTGAGAGAGGGACGTTGAGAAAGGATAGGCAACAATTAGGTCAATTATTGGGGAACTTCCCCAGATTCGATTCCCTCGTCAAAAAGTATCAACCGGTTCTTCACCTGCAAAAAGGTGATACCGTCATCCTGGCCATTGACTGACTGCAGACCGGAAGCTGCCCCCTCCCCAAAGCCCTGCAAAAGTTGCCAGTTTCTAACTTTCCACCGTCAGTGTCTCCAGTTCTCTGTAAAGAAAGACTGTTTTTGGAGTTCCTTGAGTTAACTTGCCGCTCGTTTCTCGTACTATCGGCCAAAAAACGCAGCAAACGCAAGCAAAATAATTCGAAAAGGAAACAATACAAGCGGTATATCCAGTCACTTCTTCATTTTTCCAACAGATCGC